CATACTTTAATTTATGTTCCTTATAAGGTTCGTTGTATTAGTTATTCCTCCAAAGAATGCATTTCTAGAACTTTAGATTTAATTGGCGTTCGCTTTCGTATTCCTATAGATAATTGTAACTACCTTTTTATTTGCCAAGTTCTTCTATATTTTCTCATAAAGATCTTTATGCTTATTATTAATAAAAGTCAGTGGCGGTTCGTGACCTTCTGAAAATGGGGAGGGCACAATTTGACTGATTAGTTAAATATGAAGATATAAAACAGGCTGTTATTACCAGTTAATAGACGAAATTGTATGGCGGAAATAAATACAAAGATACATTCAATAAAAGTAAAACAGTGCACAAAACAAAACAATTTATTATTTTTTTCACAACCCCACATCCACAAAAATTTATGATACCTGTTATGTCTATTGAAATATCTATGAAAATGTCTCGTTTTGCCATAAACACTTTTTTTTATTAACAAACAATTTTATCGTCGTAAGACACAAGACGATTTTTTATTAAATATTCAACTGAATTCATTATGTTTATCTAAAATTAAACAATTTCACTCGCACGAAATGACAATGAACTCCTGTAGTTGAATTATTGCTAGCGGTCATTGCTTCAAATGTGACCCGGTTCCAACAAATACAGCGACTAGAGGTGTGGTTTCCATGGCAACGGTGTAAACAAAAAATCTAAATGAATCATGATTTGGTCTCTGCACCAGCCGCCTTTGATGACAGCAGGTGTGTTAGAACATCTATAGCAAAAATACCCATGACATCGGTAAAGTTACTTAGTTGTTTCATTAAAATTTTCTACTTTTGCAGGGCTTATTTTTACTCTTGTTCGTTTAGAATACATTACTTTGGATTCTTTATCACCTACAACAAGAGTGTCTTTTTATCTACCTTTATGTTTATATTTATATACAACTCTCTTGCAATGTATTGGAAAGGATCTATATTTTCTTACATAAATAGTTCTGATTTTCTGTAATCAATCCAAATATTTTGCAATCAGTATGTCTGAATCGTATATCCTTCTTTTCATTAACATTATTTTACACTCGTTATATAAAGTGTCTACAAATGATTCATACCTTGCAAGACTTCTGTAAAACTGTTAGGATGCATTTATAGCAAGATAGAGACCACGTTCAACATTTTTTGTTGAACATGTTTTGTTAAATAAGTATATAATTAAAATAGGACCACATATTCAAAGCATTGTAATCGAGTCCATCGGGCAATTGGCTACTTTTATGTTTTGTTGTTGTTTCATGACCCCTAGAGTATAAAAAAATAGGTTTCCCGTTTCCTTTTCTTATTGTCTATTTGTATAGATTTATCTTAGATAAATAATTTCCGAAACTACCTGACCGATTTTTTTTTTATTTTTATAAGAATGTAATAAAATATTGTGTAGATAGTAAAACGCTAACCAAAATTGGACTAATGATACGGAATAACGTTGAAACTGTTGAACTCTGGCTAACGTTTTAAGGTTATCATAAACGTCGTAAATCGTTAATCAAAATTTATTCCTTTATCCCCTCCTAAAAATTTTATGACGTCATCTCAAAACTTTGCCGAATAAATCCAATCTAAGATATGCAAAATATTATGAATTTATGTTTGTAGTTTATCAATGCACCTATATTTTTTAGAATTACTTATACAAGGTGACACAAAAAATGAATGAATTAGGAAATTAATTCTACTAATATGATAAATAAAAAACGGCTCACCCCATTTGCACGAAAATTTGACTATACAGTACTTTTATTATTAGCATTGCACTTCATCTATTCAAATTTATATATGTGTCCTTACTAAAATGTTGATGACATCATCACAAAATATTGCCGCATGCTCTCTCTCTTTATTACTTCTACCAGTCCACACATATAAGGTTCATAACATTTATTGCAATAATATGGAGAACCAAGAAAACCTGCCGCTATATTGACTGTATCAAGATGATTTCTATTTCTATTATAAACATATGTACAGAGCTATATCTCAGATCTCGAATGAATCACAGAATTAAATGGAGATGCATCAACGGCCTAAATATAAATATCTAATACTCTTTCTATGTTTACAATATCATCCAAAATAAAATACTTTTGATTATATTATTCAGTTGATTGCATAGCTCTTAGTTCTTTTGCTTGCAAATTTATTTCTTTTGTTGTATATTTTATTTCATTATTATTTTATTCCTTACAGAGTATTATATTTCTACAATAAGGTAATCCAACTACAACTAAAAAAGAATATATCTAATTTTTCATTTGAAGTTAAAAGAGAGATTCATTATATGTTTATATAACTTATTAAACAATAAATAAGATTAAACTGTCAATATCAAGCTTTTTTGAACAACCTGTCGAAATATGATGCCATAAATTACTATCATGATGAATAACTACATACCTACATATAATCAGTCTCCTTATTTCACAGATTTTTTCTTTTTTATTGTTTCAGCCATTTCATTCAAACCTTCTCTAATACTAATAACAATCTTTTTAATTATATCAAAAATATCGGATTCATTCGATTTTTTTTCTTTTAAAAATGAACTTTATATTTATGTACCACTTCTTTTATGTATTCAATCCATGTTGCTACCGGATGAATTTTTAAAATTCTGATTTTGAGAATTTGTTGATAAAACAAATTTGGCCGAAACGTAGGTCGTAAACTGACGTGCGAAAATGCAAACAAAGCACAATTTAGGTTATGTTAAAAGGCGAGATTGTCACAACATAACTTGTAAGTTCTATAAGAGACGGCCACGTGATTTGGTGACGTATTGGGTAGTGAAAACTATATCAGAAATTTAAAAAATCAAAAAATCACCCGCATTATTTCGAATTTAGGTTCAGGCAAATCTGTAAAATAACCAACATCAAATGCAATAGTTGTTCACCATTTTCCAACTTTTTCATTCTTAAATAGCGTTTGGCATTTTTTTATTTAGCAATAATTCTTAATTGTTTAACCGTTTTACTAATAAGATCTGTTTTATCTTTTTGTCTATCCCTTTCTTTAATTATTAAATCTTCTACCTTCGACTTTATTTTCGATCTGGAAGGTTGTTTTATTTCAATATTCCATGCACGTATGATTAACTAAACCGTTGTTCTTTGGCTCACATAAGGATTATTGTCCACTAATCATTGCAAAATTGCTATTTATTTGGCAGGTAATCTTGCAAAAAATATTTACTTACTGCGAAATTTGAGTGGGACTGTGTCTGGCTTGACACTGAAGGCTGCCTACTTTGGGATCTGGCACTCTCTAATTTCTTATGGCATCCTTTTGTGGGGACCAGTGGTGGAATTTGGCAGAATATTTTCATTGCAACGAAAAGCGGTAAGGTTATTATCAGGTCTTCGTTATCAAGATGACTGCAAAGAATCGTTCACTTCATGAGGCATTTTAACATGTCCTTGTGTCTATATATTGAGTTACCTACTTCATTTAAAATAAAATATAAGTAAATACGACTCCAATAACTGTTTCCACAGTCATGATACACAAAACAAATTACAATTAATTACCCTATCATCGTTTAAAAAAGTGTCAAATTGGACCTAATTATTATCTGTTTATTAAGTTTTATAATGTCCTACCAGAATCGGTGGAAAGCTTGCTATTGCCTAGATTCAAAAGCTTTATGAAATCTTTTTTAATTAAAAAGGCTTTCTACAATTACGAAGAATTTTTAAGATGTAGAATTGTGATGTCTGACTAAGATCTTTATTATAAGAATTTTAACACTTTAGGTATACATTTTAATGACGTGTATAAGCAATTCAAGTGCAAAAATACGAAAATAAGTTATTATTATAATGATTTCATTAATCTCCTATACTTATTCTTTTTCGAAGTTTTTTAAGGAGTGGCGAATTTTCTCTCAAACACGTTTCCAGGATTTTGAAAATAATTTCCGGTGGTGCTCTTCTGTTCCCAAAACATTCTGCATAAACCCAAGCAACGAAGGAATCATTTTTTCTGGATTCGCCATAAATTAAAACCATATTAGTTTTTTCATAAATTAAATACATGTTAGTTTCTGACAATCAACAACATTCAAAAGTTGGTTACGGTAAATCGAAAAATAAATCTACGAAATTTCTGATTATATATTTTGATTTGCATCTTCAGCTTGGTTAGGCTCATTATGAGTCATGAATCATCCTATATATGTATACTTTGGGTATATCATTAAAGATTCATTTGCATATATATGTATTCCCAGTGTAAAAGTTGAGCCTTATAAACAAAAACGGTAAATTATGGGAAGGAATATTAAAAGGGAGTTCTAACCAACACATAAAATATTCTAGCGTTGCTAAGCCCGCATAAAAAAATACCCATGTATGTTTGAAGATTTGTGCATTTCTGAAGTATGAATCCTGTATAAACATTTTTTGTTCAACCGAAAGGGTTTTTAACTCAAACGTTCAAACTGAATCTAAAAGACGAACAATGTGTCAAAGGCAAATCTTAAAATCGATGGCTGTCTTTGATCGTGTTTTTATTCCTCTCTCGGTATAAAGTTACTTTCATTATTCTTTGTACTTGTTTTTGTGCATAATTGATCCTGTACTAAGTGAGCACTGATGAAATTCAAAAACTTAAGCTTAGTCTAGTGACACCTACGCCTCAAATGCTACCGTTGTTCTGTTGCTTTTAAGTCATAAATTAAAAAAAAAATGTTTTTTATTTATCAATAGCCACGTAAAATGTGTATGACGCACATGTCAAAATTGTTTTATTTTCCTAGTGCAACATCTCCGCCCCTACTCGGCTTTCAACCTCGTTAACTTTATCGACTGGCACAGTTTTAACACTTGTATCATAAACAATAATTACAAAATGCAGATACAATATCAAGATCAAATACATTCTTATTATTTTTTTATCAGTATTTGTATTTACAGCAAAATATGATTTAAACCTACATACTAATAATTTAACCCTATTAGATCTGTGCCAAATCTCGCCAAATCGCTCCCGACCTGCATCGACCACGCCGAAATCAAGAAGTCTAACCTCGACTACCACAAATACAACGCTTTGGCCTACGAATGCAGCGCTTCTAAAGACGAAGAAGCGAAGAAGTTCCTCAGCGACTTCGGTATCTTCGGTCCGATGGGCAACGGAGTCACCACAGTTCTTCGCAGAAGTTCCCGAAACTCCATCGATGGCGACGTCATCCAGCAAATACGCAAGAATTCGAAGAATCTCGTCGACGCCAAGCGTCGCAATTCCAGCGCACAGGAAGAGCACGAGTACTTAAAAACAGTCGTCGCGCGATTAAAGAAGGAACTGGCGGAACAGGATGTGAAGTATGGAGCTCTCCAATCGGAACTATTCGAAACAAGAAAAGATCTTACCTGCAAAGAGAGCGAAGTTATCAAACTTCAAAGAGAAATTCATAAACTGAAGGTAAGTTTAATCAGATGTAGCTATTGTTGTCAATTTATTGTGCTTCGGCGTTCCCTATATTTCCCTAGCACTCCCAATTCAAAGAAAACGTAACGCTTTCACGTTCGCATCAGGACAATGCTATCAGTGTTATTATTTAAATGTCAGTGTTTGCGTCAGCCCTTTACAAACGCTCTCTGTGTTTTACAATATCTAAGCATTTACTGTTTTAGAAACATTCAATAGCCACTGTTTTAATTTCAACCTTATAATTCACAACGAGATAACAACTACAAATCAGATAAAGAGCGAAGTTAGAATCAAGTTGTGCTAAATTGAGGGCGAGACACGCCATAGTTCTATTAGTTCAAAGTCGTTGTCCCCTTAAATTTGTGGGTACGACTAGAAAATAGTTGCGTGCAAACAAAGCTAAAGTCACCCTTGATGCATACCAAATAAAAAGTGCTTCTGGCTCGCCCCATTACTGCCACGAATTTGATAATTTTAATTTTGTGTGTTTGCTGATTAGTGATACGGGTCAAAATTAAAATGTTCTACTTCAAGTTGGGTTTTATTAGTGTTCCTCTGACCTTTTACGCAACACAATTCTATTCTTTGTAGTTTTATTAACGTGCCTTGAAAATGAAAATAGTCCTAAAATTTTAACCTTACGTCATGTCCTATCATTTCATCTACTAATTAGATAACGAAGCATGAACAAAAATATATTTTCATTATATACCAGGTTTTTCGGATTTTTTTAAAATCATATAAGACTCTGATTACTGATAACTGATTAGTGAAGATATTGACATGTTACTTTCATTGTTAAAAAAATATCTTAATACCTTATTTAATTTGATAAGCATTTATAAATTTTTAATTCAAAGAACGAAATCTTATCTAATTTTCGCAAAACCCCGATTACGAATTTCCTTTCAATTAATTATCTTAGTGCTTAAATCTGAACAATCACAATTTACAAAAAAAAAAAATACAGTACAGTACAGACAAATAGATTACAATTTTCTTTTGATTTGTGCTACCATAAAATAATAAAAGAACTTGGCACTTCGCCATTAAAATAAAATACGATCAATATAAAACTATATCTATACCCTCAAGTTTTCCAGAAGAAACGATAACTTTCTATTTCAAAATAATACATCGTAGGTTTCACTTAAGGCGAGTCCTTACGTTTGGGGCTTATGGATTGTCAATACATTTTCAGAATATAATATCTCCGTTATTAGCAAACTTATTATTATGAAATTTTAAATATAACATGTCCACATTTTCTAATAATAACGCTGCGTCAGTACTTTAAAAAAGCAGTTTACTGTCATCTTTTTTTATATTTTGGTGAAATTTTTACGTCACGTATACTTATTTAAAAATCAAACTCTCAATTATTAATGGAAATTTTGGAACACGGTTTTCACCACTGCTTTCAGCTTAAAAAACTATAAATTTTATTTATTACATTATCGATTTTTTTGTTGGGAATGATATATGAGAGATGAGAAGATATAGAAGGTTCTTCGACATAAACTCTTTTCACAATATCTCATTTCCGGTAAAGAAAACCGATTTTTAAAAATACGTGATGTAAAAATTTCACCAAATTAAAAAAAAAAATAATGGTAAACTTTTTTTTTAAACTGCCAATAATAATAACTTTATTCAGCCGTTACATAGAAACACTACATTTGGCATTTGTGTAGCAAAATTTTTAGAAGACGTCAACCTTCAAACACCTGCAAAATTTCAAAAAAGTTCGTTTTATAGCTTCTAAATCAAATTACACAATATTGTTGTACAATATTGAATTTTTTCCAAAAATCTGTATGTCTCATGTAAAAATTAAGGGTGGATTGACAAACAGCAAATATAGAAGGATATTGTTTTATAAAATTTACAAAATTTATTTTGGGAAATTTTGAGATGACGTCATCACCGTTGGTAGGGATTATCAGACAAATTTTGATAAGAAGTCAACAATGTCTAGCTTACACGGATGATGTGGTTATAACAGATGAACTAGAAAATGAATTAATGCAAGCAGTTGTAAGTTGAATACAGAAGCTATTTAATGTGTGAGACATGAAAAAATATAGCGGAAAGAAAAATGCATGTAAATCGAAAAAAGAAAAGAAAAGATCTAGAAGTTACAAATACTTAGGTTTAATATTTCATAAAAATGATGACAATTTTGAAATCAAGGATGTTAAGTGGGCTTCAACAAAAGAGTATGGCTAAGCCGAACGAAACAAGAATTTTACGAGTACCAAGAAAGTTATTAAAACTCCGAGAATTAAATGGAAGGAAGATATCCCCATGGTAAAAACAGTAAAGATTTATAGAGAAGTTATGGAAACAGCAACGGCAGAATAGGAGGTAACAGGAAAATTTGCTGAGGTTAACAAAAATCAAACAGAAGGACAATCGATAAAAGAATTCTATGTAAAAAACGTGGTGAGGCAAGGTCCTGTTATCACTACAGGTATTCAGCTTAGCACTAGAACATGTGATAAAGAAGGCTAGACTAAACAGTAAAGGATTAATACACCACAACCGACACCAAATACTAGCTTTGCGGATGACAGTAATATTGATTGACAGGTAGTAAAGAAGAATTAAGAGAGAAAATTGTACAGTTAGGAAAAACAGCAACATCTATAGGCTCGAAGATAAATGAAGTAACAAAACAAAAAACAAAAATGAAATCACGTCAAGTCCGGTCAGGTTGGGACAGGTCATGTCAAGTCAGGTTAGATCAGATAAATAATTTGAAAAAATTTGAACTAGTATAGGGAATACATACAATTTTAAAAATACTTTCAAATACCTAAACACAAATATATACAGGAAGCCGGAGATAAAGGACGAAACAACATAAACTGATGCAGAAAATAGCAAAAAATCTTAAAACATAAGTGCACAAATACTACAAATCCATAATTCGCTAAAAGTTACTTTTGAAAGTGAAAAATGGACGGTAGGAATGAACGAATTGGTCAATCCACCGGTAATACCCCCAAAGTCCTGACGGCCCTCTTCATTGTGCGGTCGCCGACGCGTACCCTGGTGCATCCATCGAAGCCTGGATGTAGTTCTGCCACTCGTTCTCGTCGCCAACTTAGGGATTGACTGGGATCCCTTAAGAGGACCAACATCTCCGGTTATATTTGGTACGCAGTCTGATGCCACTTCGCCCTAGGTTGGAAATGGCCCAAATATTCCCGGGACCATCGACGCCAAATAAAATTGTTGACAAATTTGTTCAACATGTTGTCATCGGAATAAGCGTCCAATCTTCCAATCGCTCATGTCAGGTACCGGTACATCAGTTAACGAACTACCAATCAAAAAATGTCCTGGCGTCAGGACTTCTCGTCGTTCGGATCTAACGGCCGCGAGTTTAAACATGCCTCTATACCTACCAGCAGCATACACAGCTCCTCATACGTCAGCATTGCGTTCCCTATAACTCTTTTGAGGTGAAATTTAACTGATTTAACCCCTGATTCCCAAATGCCTCCAAAGTGAGGTGCTCTGACTGGTATAAAATGCCAATTTATGTTTTTTCTGCTAACCTCAGTTAAAATTTCCTTGAACTTATCGGCTTTAAATAATTCCTTTAACTCCTTAATTGCGCCTACAAAATTACTACCGAAATCTGAGTAAATGTTGTCTACCAGTCCTCGACACTCCATAAACCTTTTTAACGCGTTAAAAAAATTATGGGTAATTTGCTAGTGACGCGATCCAAAATGGTGAACCGCGGTGTTTGCTCGATGGACCAGGTCACAATGGATGATCAACTTGTAGACCACAATAGATGGCCCTGGTTGGTTGTAGGTCACAACGGATGACATTCTGAACTAATTCAGAGCAGCTACAAGATGTCTGTACTTGTCAAGATTTAGTTTCACTCTTACCCTAACAACTACAAAACTAAAACCATCTTATTCGAGTTGGAGCCGGTGGTTACGTCCCCTTCCCTCCTGTCGCTGATTGGACGGCGGGCTTCTCAATTGGCCCGAACAGGGAACGATAAAACAGAGTTTACTAAAGAGAAGTTAAGAAAAACTGACGCTGGGAGAAATATTAATGAAAGATGAAAAAGAAGAACTAACAGTAAGACACGAAACAGAACCGGATGGAAAACACCCATAAACATCTTCTATGCCTCTAGTGCTAATACATATTTTGTGTGTAACACAGTCTATGTGCAATCGGGGCTACTAAGAAACAAAGGATGAGCAAGGCCAGAAGTCGGGGGTCGGGGTGAGGAGCCTCAAGGTTTTGTAGTGGAAAAGAGTTGAAAACAAAAATTGCAGGAAATAGAAAATAGTTGTAAAAAGACTGGTCAAATAGGAAAAAAACGAAAAAAAAGTCAGACAATTTTACCATCTACACAATATCTCTAAAATGCACCTAAAATTTCGCGACATTCAGTCATAATTCCGTTATTTCATCTAACCTGACCTGACCTGACAAATTTATACCGCGGGCTTTTATGGTATTTTGTTGTTGTTATTTTATTCTTCAACAAAAACATGGACGATCCACAATAAATTTCACTTACAAATTTCAAGAATGTCATCACTATTCCATGTGTCAATCCACGTTAAAGATTACATTTGTAATAGGGTAGAATGTAACATGATGTAAAAAGGTGACTAATTTGTAGAGACTTCATAAGAGGTATTATGGAAGTAAGCTAAAAATAATTTTGTCTATCTACTTAGCTGTTGATTTTCTACTAAAACACTTATTAATCAATATATGCATTTTCGACTTGAGACAATCTACGAGGGATACTCAGTATATGAAAAGTTGCAAAAGCTTCAATTACATTATAGTTTTTATAAATTTTATTGCTAACGTATGAGGAACACTGAAATAGCAAAAAATTTAAATATATGCTTCTAGACAGAAATTTTTACTTACCCTTGTACAAAGTAACAAAAATATCATCATGAGTTTAGGGAATAGCAAAAAAAAACACATAACTAGCCAAGATATTTATTAAACAAGCACTAAAAATACACATTTATGTGAGAAAAATTGTCTGTTATTTACATAATTTTATTATTTCTCTAATCAGTTCCTGTTATGGTGGACCACACATCTAGTAAAACATTGCGGAAAAGGTCATTGCACTTTTTAATATTGCGTCACATAAACAATCTTGTTATCAAATCAATATAATAACACATCGATTGACACAACTGAACTCTAAAATGACTTTAGTTTGATACTTGAGATAAACTCTCCATTATCGATGGACTATTATATAATCAAAAGTGATTCATTCGTTTTATGAGAATCATTTTTATTGTCTGACCCAAGATGCTATTTACTCATTCAAAATCCAAATAAAAACAAAACCTGACATAACTAAGCACAGTTTAATACTCATACAACATGCAAGCAATTAATCACTACATAATACAGCTGCGAACCTACACATAAGAAAAAATTACAACTGAAACAAGAGCAAAGCAGTGCAAGCATAATCTAGAAAAAAACTTTATACATTTACACTACATTTAAGTATATTTTGCACATATCAAAGTCAGATTGTGGAACAACACTAAAACTTACATTGTCATATATTATTATTAAACAGTTACCAGTAAAAGAATAGCAAAAAAATGAAATGTCAGGCTGCTTGCAATTGATTAATATCATTTTTTTGTTTGTTTTATTTTGTTCTAAATAAATAATCAATAATTTTAGAGCGTATTACAACAAACCACGAGTTTTAATCAAGATGGCGATATTCTCACGAGTTTGCAAGAAAAGCACGCAATGGCAAATAGAGTGCCTCAAAGCCAACAGTCCCTCAACAGTAGCTGCATACTAAAGAAGCAAGGTGTATCCGCCGAATCCAGTGATTCCACAGGTCAAGCCAGTGACATAACGCTCACGAAACATGATAAAGACTTCAGGTAAGCTGATAAAGTCAAAGATTAATCCATTTAAATTAAACTTCAACTCACGCAACTAGGTCTAAACAACTTATCAAAGACGCCATCATGGACAATAACTTCTTACAAAATTTAGATACGTCACAAGTTAGAGAAATAGTGGATTGTATGTACCTTAGAGAATTTCCCACAGGCACTTATGTTATACGAGAAGGGGAAGCAGGCGCCCATTTGTTTGTTTCTGCAGAAGGAGATTTCGAAGTTATGAAGGAAGACAAGGTGTTGGGTCGTATGGGGCCAGGAAAAGCGTTCGGAGAATTGGCGATTTTGTATAACTGTACTAGAACTGCTTCCATAAGGGGTACCGATGGTTAATATTAAGTACGAAATGTAATAATAACAAAATTTTTGTTTTAGTGGTTGTTGACTCGAAAGTATGGGTTTTAGACAGAAAAGTATTTCAACAAATTATGGTTCGAACAGGACTGCAAAGATTACAAGACAACATCAATTTTCTTAGATCTGTACCTCTTTTGCAAAATCTCAGTAACGAAGTTTTGGCTAAGATCGCTGACGTTTTAGAAGTCGTAAGTTATTATAGTTTTTATCAAAGAAAGTTATAACCAAGTATAAATTAAAGGAATTCTATCCTGCTGGTGTCTACATCATCAGACAAGGAGCGAACGGCGATACCTTCTTTATAATCAGTAGCGGATCTGTTAAAGTTACTCAACGCAAACCAGGTATTTTTTTAATCTAAATTCTCGTTTTTTTTATCATCATTAATTCAGAATCTATGGAAGATGAAGATGAAATAAGAGTTCTGCAACGTGGTGACTATTTTGGAGAACAAGCCTTACTAAAAGAGGACTGTAGAACTGCTAACATTATTGCGATGCATCCAGGTGTGGAATGTCTGACTCTTGATCGAGAGTCATTCAAACAATTAATCGGAGACCTGAGTGAAATCAAAGAAAAAGATTACGGAGACGACCAAAGATTAAATAGACAGATAAACACACACTTGGAAAAACAAGGTATGGTAATTACCCATTAAGTTAACAACGCTCACTTGTTGCTTTTAGAATACGACTATATTAATTTGGACGATTTAGAAGTGATTGCTACGCTTGGTATTGGAGGATTCGGCCGAGTAGAATTAGTTCAATACACCAGCGATAAATCGCTAACTTTTGCTCTTAAGTGCCTAAAAAAACAGCACATTGTGGATACACAACAGCAGGACCACGTTTTCAGTGAAAGAAATATAATGATGAGTTGTCGAAATAAATTCATTTGTAGAATGTACAGAACTTTCAAAGATTCAAAGTACGTGTACATGCTACTAGAAGGGTGTCTTGGGGGCGAAGTTTGGACAATTCTTCGAGACAGAGGCTGTTTTGACGAAGACACCACGAAATTTATTACTGGCTGTGTACTAGAAGCATTCGAATACTTACACAGCAGAGGCATAATTTATCGTGATTTAAAACCTGAAAATCTTCTTTTGGATAGAAATGGTTACGTGAAGCTTGTAGATTTTGGTTTTTCTAAGAGACTAGGTTACAGCAGCAAAACATGGACGTTTTGCGGAACTCCAGAATATGTAGCTCCTGAAACTATATTAAACAAAGGACACGATAGGTCCGTGGATTATTGGGCTCTTGGGATATTAATGCATGAACTGTTAACAGGAAAGTGAGTATGAAATATTCATGATAAAAGTTCGACTTAAACGAGTGCGTAAATTGTAGTCCTCCTTTTACGGCGTCTGATCCTATGAAAACGTATAATCTAATATTGAAAGGAATTGATATGATTGATTTCGCTAAACACCATATAGGACGATCAGCTCAAAGCCTTATTAAAAAACTGTGCAGGGATTCGCCTTCGGAGCGACTGGGATATCAGAAAGGTGGAATTCAGGATATTAAAAAACACAAGTAAATATCATTCTTATCACAAAAGGTTTTACTAACTTTGTTAACTGTTGCAGGTGGTTCCAAGGTTTTGACTGGGATGGTTTAATAACTCAGACATTACCATCTCCCATTAAACAGACAGTTAGAGGACCTTGCGACACAACAAACTTTGACTGTTTTGGTAAAGATAACGACATTCCTCCGGATGAACTTTCTAACTGGGATTTGGAATTTTGAGAAAAAATTGTACTACGTATTTTATAAGTATTTTTTAAATGTCTCATCATCCGGAAATCTCATGTTGGTCTAGTCTAAAATCATCAAACAAAGAATTCAGAAACATATCTGATTACTTAATTAATTATGAATACATTTTGTAACAGCAAAAATAATATGGACAATAAAGCTATTTGTATGAAACAATAAACTTTTAATATCTTACCACATTATTAGTTTTTATGTTAAATGTGTTATAAAACTATTTAAAGACCCAGTCTAACATTTATTATTGAATCATATCTGGTAAGTGGACTGCCAATCTAGTTGATTAATAAAAGGAATAATAATAACTGTCAAACTCAGTTGTGTAAACTAACATACAAACATGTAAACTAATATACAAAACAACATGTACCTAGTTGTTATAGAATTTGTTTTACTTGATTTAGTCTTATAAATCACATTCTTACATAACTTTTAACTCTAAATATTATCAATTTTTTCGCAACTGTCACATAGGTTGTGTGTAAAACTTTTATGTTGTATATTGAGACTTATTATTATTACTAACATTTTACATACAGACACAATTACAGTTTTATGCAGTTAGCTTTGCATAAAGGAAAACCAGCTTCAGTAACTGTTGTACTAGAGGTAAAAAAAGATGAACTATGTGCATTTACTCTGTTCACCTTTATAAATATATTATGTGAGATCACAAGACATTCTCTTAGGATTTTGATCAACAATATTGATTGTTCGAATGTTCTATGGATCTGTTTACTAAAAGTTTAATCTCTCAATCAGTAATTCTTGAAAATAACTTTCGTTGAATCCTCTTCTGAGAGCAAATGTGGATGTTAATACAAGACAGCAAAAGCATATTGAAGATGAGATCTGCAGCAAGTGAAATACTATAATATCAGCGTTTCTACATCATGAGACTTTTAGATCAAAACTCACAGCAAGATCACGTACTACGTTCGGTCCAATTTGCCATCAGTATTATAATGGAAGTAAACAAGAATTTCTTTTTTTGAAAATGTCATAATGCAGCATTTAGTTTCATTGAACACAATGTTGTTACTTGTGCACCATTTAAACACCTTGTCTACACATTTTTGAAAACGCAAAGTATCATCATGCTTGTCAATTAAACTGTAGCTTTTTAAATCATCTGCAAATAAAAGATAATGCACATCAATAATGTCAGTGCATCTATCATTTATAAACATAGGAATAACGCCGGACCCAACATGGAACCTTGGGGAACACCGGTTTTCTATTTAAACAACTCTATGTGACAAAGGACCAAAAAACGCAGTTTTAAAATTATGGAAATTCATGAATTAACTCGATTTACTATGAACTTTTAATACATAAAAATAAAATTTTAACACGAATAATAGCGGAATAACAAGAACTTTGTGATGACTGTAAGATTCATGTATCAACTTCTTCAGAAATCGGTAGGCTTTTGGATAATTGAGAACACCGCTGCCAATTCTCTCATAAAATGCATTGCTTACGGGTTTTGTACGCTGCCAAGTCAAAGCGGAACGGACTTTAGGTTTTCATAACTGATTATAACAAATAGGAAGTACAGTATGAGCTATCATTTATGTCTAAATACAATATTAAAATTAAACACCCCTTCAGTTCCCACTGCAAATTCAAATGCTAAGATGCTTGTATTGCTTCGTTCACCACTTTTATTATATCTTTTAATAAAATATAGAATAAGTTTCGCAGATAGTAGATACTTAAAACGTACGTTCTTCTAATTATTTTTCTGCTTCAGTAACAAAATTTCTAATAAAACATATTAAATTATGAAAATGATAAGCATACACGCGCTACAAACAACGGAATGACCTTGTATACAACGTTCTCTATCGTTAGTTCCAGATTTTAAATAATTCTGGTGCTAAAACCATGCATTTGTAAATTTTATGTATTTTAAACTATTTTCGCTCGAATTTTTTTCTGCCAGAAATGCAAAAAATTGTGTATATGCCGCACGAGATCAGGACTCCGTCTTCATTTGAAATTAAAAACCTACTTTGGTCCCTGGCAGAATGGCTTATGTTATAAACCTGCTATGGTTGTACTCATCAAAATGCACATAACTTATCCTATTAATTATTTAAATATAGAAGTAAGCTCTAGCTATCTATTTTCGATCGTTGTTATATTTGTGCCGCGAATGTGTGATCTTAACTGAATGATGGTTTCGATAAGGTATTTTAAATTTATATTCCAATTACAGTTTGCATTTTTACTATACCTTTAATCTTAAATTAAAACAAAAGTTTAAAAATAGTTGTATTAAAAATTGCGAAAATTCTTTAATAAAATCGTTGACACTCCTGATAGACGTGAAACGAAAACTTGCGTTTTTGTATTCTAGAAGCTGTTAAACAGTATTAGAACAAATTAGCAAGGCCGACTTGCCACTACCATCTACCTGGTCGAATCTAGACCAAGTAACCGTAAACACGTAAGTAATTATAAGTAAATGTTTTTCTTTCATTTAATAATATGGTGTGGTACCACCCGAAGTTCTCGGCCGCTCGGCTCTCGTCGGGTGTTCGGTACCACCCCCAATATGATTCATCACCGCCCTCCTGGACGAACGAGTGGCGGACGCAGAGTCACCAACAACCCGTCAACGGGCACGCGTCGCAAAAACACATAAATACTTTCATCATATAATATATATATTGACATGTACATAATAATCAATAAATCGTTGTTAAAAGTGCACGTCGTTCCACAAATAATAATCATTACAGTTTCCACATTGGTCCTTCGAGCCGGATATTAATACCGCGACTGTATTATTCGGAATTGAAACGCGACGCGTGGTAGTGACGTTCCGTGGTAGCAGTGGGCAGCATTTCTGAAAAAGGAAACACCACCCCATGGAAGAAGTTTTCAACTAACAAATTCCGTGGAAGCAGTGGGCAGCATTTCTAAAAAAGGAAACACCACCCCGTGGAAGAGGTTCATTCAGCGATCTCCGTGGCAGCAGTGGGCAGCATTTCCGACAAAGGAAACACCACCCCGTGGAAGAGGTTCATTCAGCGATCTCCGTGGCAGCAGTGGGCAGCATTTCCGACAAAGGAAACACCACCCCGTGGAAGAGGTTCATTCAGCGATCTCCGTGGCAGCAGTGGGCAGCATTTCCGACAAAGGAAACACCACCCCGCGGAAGAGGTTCATTCAGCGATTTCTACGGCAGCAGTGGGCAACATCTCCGACGAGGAAACGCCACCCCGTGGAAGAAGTCGTCATTCAGCGATTTTCGCGGCAGCAGTGGGCAGCATCTCCGACGAGGAATCACCACCCCGTGCAAAAATCTCAACATCGGAACTAGGGCTTCAACAAGAGGGAGTCAGTACACGTTAAGCTACACTCTTATCGTGGACGAGTGTAAACCATTGAGAGGAGAAAGGTTAGTGGCTCTTTTGTCCTAAGATTTCCCTTTTTTATCATATTCGCACGGCTAGCTTCAACGCGTATTTGTGTATCTATACATTTTTGATTGGCTTTAAGGTTCATTAATTATTCAAAAATATGTCTAAATTAGATCAGCAAAAAAGCAAATTGAAAACCATTGATGATAAATTGAAACGAATAGAGGAATATGTACAGTCATATAGTCCTGGGGTCAGTATCAATCAATTAAAAGCACGATTATCACTTCTTGACGGAATTAGAAACGATTTTGACGAAACTCAATACCAGATGGAGCAACTTGAAAAGGGGGCCGCAGAAGCCTATGAAGGCTGCAGATCGGAATTTGAAATTCGTTATTGCGATGTTGTGTGTCTTATAAACGATATTATAGAAAAAAGTCTCGCGGTTCCGGTTCCATCGACTTCTTTATTGCTTAACCCTACGGACGGTAAAAATCCACGAAATTCTAATGACAGCATGCAGTTGAATCTACCCGTTTTAAATATCAAATCATTTAGTGGCGATTACAAAGAATGGCTAAATTTTGAAATTTCGTTCAAATCGGTGATAGATGAGAATAAGGCGTTAAATAATAATCGTCAGCGACTTCAGTATTTAAAGTCTTCCTTGCGCGACGAAGCCTTGCGTACCATTGAATCTTTAGTTATTAACGATGAAAATTATAAAGAGGCATGGAGATTACTAACTAATCGGTTCAAAAATACTCGTTTAATAGTGCAAGATCACGTAATGTCCATTTTAAATGCTCCTAGTATAAATAAGCAATCACCATCCTTATTGCGGGCTCTTGTCGATACGGTGGTGTCGAATTTAACATCTCTAAAATCATTAGGAATAACGGTGGACAAATGGGATGCATTACTTATTCCTGTCATTGTAGAAAAGTTGGATTATAGTACAAAACGTGAATGGCAACTTTCCCTCGATAAAGATGTACCGACTTACAAACAGTTTATTGACTTTCTAGAAAAACGTTGTTTAATGTTGGAATCATTAAGTTATATGTCGAATAATAAAACATCAAATGAAGGAAAGGTTTATCATAAACAAAATAATTATTTCAACAAATCAAAGACTGGTTCTCACATAACCACTAATAAAAAACAAGCATCTTGTTCAATGTGTAAAAAATCATCTCATGTTATTTTTCAGTGTATAGATTTTTTGAAAATGTCAATTCCCGAGCGTATAGCGCAAGTTAAACGTCTTAAATTATGCATCAATTGTCTCCGAGAAAATCATCAGGTTGCTACATGTCGTACCAGTCATAAATGTCAAGCTTGTAACAAAAAACATAATACGTTAATACATACAGACGAAGCTGACGCCGATGAAAATAGTTCAGTAACTTTAAGTAATCATTCTTCTAGTTTATTAAAATGCTCAGATTCCGTTTTACTATCAACGGCTATAGTTCTTATTAAAAATGCTAAAAATGAATATGAAACTTGTAGAGCTTTGTTGGATCCAGGTTCTATGTCCAATTACATAACTGAACCGATGATTAAAAAGCTAAAATTGAGCACGAAACAAATAAATATTCAAATTAAGGGTTTAAATGGAGCGGCAAGTTCTTCTCAAAAGCAAGTTTTAGATGTGGGTATAAAATCTATTTATAATGCGTACTCAACAAAAATAAATTGCATCGTGGTGAACAAAATAACTGAAAATCTTCCGTTAGTGTCTATCAACCCCTCATCTTTGGAAATTCCCAAAACCATAAAACTAGCAGATCCCAAGTT